GGGTATCAATGCTCGAATTCCAAAAGGAAAGCTGGATGAAGTGCTGCGAAAATCCTCCCCGGTCCTGGAGATCGACACGCCTCGCGACTGCCCGGTCACCACCAGACCTGTTTGGTTGAAAAGGGAAGGCATTCCCCTTTCTGTTGAGCAGGTCTTAGAATTTGCCAAGGAAGCTCCCAATCACTACGGGATCTTTAAAAAGCAAGACTGCTATGCATTGCGAGTGTCACAAGCCGACTTTCACAAAACCAAAGAGGCCCTTGGCCAAGTCAGTACACCTCTGTTTAGGATTTTGGGACTGCCACAATATTTTGTTGCAGAAGATGTTATGGAACTACTGCACGCCATGTCTTGGGAAGCAGAAGTGCAGCCCGGAAGTCGAAGATTTCGAAATGGAGGGGTACAGTATTTGGTCCGGAGCAGTCAGACTCCTGACCTCTGCTCCTTTCTTTTTTGGCTATGAGAGAAGAGTTGTGACGGTGGAGCCCACGGTCAGGAGCTTTGTGCCTGCCCCTAAAGTGGACCCTCCTAAAGTTGACCCCATCAACTACCCGTCCTTCAAGAGCCAACTGCAGAAAGGTAAAGGAAATGGATCCAGCCTGGCCAGAAAGGATGGTCCCACCCACTCTGTGTGGTGGAATGCCCCGTTGGTAGATGAAGGTCCCAAGAAGAGGATTCGTATCAGCACACCTACCAAAAACTCTGCTCAGACTCAGGGAGCGACTGGCACTTTGTCCAGAGCACAGATCATGGATCGAATCACGGCCATGACGGAGCAGCTGCAGACCCTCCAAGCTCTTCTCCAACCACGAAGTCCCTGCAGATATGTGGAATGTGAAACACCTTAATCGGATCCTCAGAAACGGGAAAGGTGTTTCATCGCCGGGGCTAGGTGGATGGACCTACGCGCATTTCAAAAAGCTACCGCAGAAGGGCGTGGATTTTCTACACAGTCTTTTTATGCTTTGCGTTATTTGCGGAAGGGCTCCCAAACATTGGCTTAATGCTAAACTTGTGGTTATTCCAAAAGGTGACGCCGGCTTTGATCTCGATGCCATGAGACCCATCACTATTGAAGTTACGGCTCTACGCATTTTCCACAAGTGGCTTTTGAAATGCGGTGAAATCACCTTCGACAACCTCCCTGAGAACATCATTGGGGGTGTACCTCAGCGCAGTGGGTATCAGGCATGGCTGCACGCCTCTCTATCTGCTGAGAAATGCCAGAATGAAACGCACCTCTCATTTCATGGTGTGGCAATCGACACGGTCAAGTTCTTCGATTGTATCCCACATTGGCTTGCTTGTCATGCCTTATCCGAATGGGGTATGCATCAGGCTGCAGTTGGCACTTGGATTCATTCCATCAGGCACATGAGGAGATTCGTTTCCACCTCCGGCATAGTAGCCAGACGGCCTGTTCTTGGGACGATCGGGTTGCCTCAGGGCGACCCCATCAGTATGGCTGCTGCTAGCCTTGTGCTGGCGGTTTGGTCAAGAGATCTCAACAGCGCTGTGTACAATTATGTTTATGTGGATGATAGGCTTCTTTTCACGGAAGGTGACTCGAGTGAACTCCAACATGCCTTTGGGCGCACTGAAGCTTGGGATACGCTTCATAATTTCCGCACGCAAATTAAGACTTGTCAAATCAGAGATGTGAAGAAGTCCACACCGCTTTGCTGGCGGGATGGACAAGTTGTCAAGGAAGTCAAATCGGTCGATTACCTTGGTGTTCCCCTGGCCATTGGGCTCTTTTCCTCTAAGACTTGGTTTGAAAAGAAAATACACAGAGCTATTACCGCGCTGCAATTGCTTGCAAGGGCCAACCAACCTGCGGCCACTACCAATATGATTGTCCGCACGGTCATTATTCCTATGCTTACGTATGCAGGCACTACACTGAGACCGACTAAGGATCAGCTCAGGCAGCTTCGCACGGCTATTCGTACTGCGGCACACGGGAGCAAGCTTGGGACCTTTTCGGCCCGAATTCTGTTTCAGAAAAACTACTTGCTTATGGACCCGGAGTTCTTCTTTGTTTGGAGAAACCTGCTCTTCTGGAACAATCATGCCTTCAAGAAGCGCGCCTTCAAGGACGCTGTGATTCAGACTTGGGAGAAGGTCCTTCCCTCTATCAAAAAGATTGGCCCTGTTTCCCAGCTTAAAAAGGATTTGGAATATCTGCAGCTTCATTTGAACGTTGACAACTTGCAAGTTAGCAACAATGAAGGTAGACTGCTTTGGACCTTTGGTAGTGGCGACTGCAAAGAGATGAGCAACGCTCTTAGTCATTCCTTCCGTAACAAGATTCCCTCTGAATTGGAACAATGCAACTCCTCCTGTTGGAAGGGGGTCGGCAACCACGATTTCGGCACAACCACTGCGCTTCTTCACTTATTGCCTGAAGGGCACCCTGTGCAACAGAAGCTCATTCGAGTGCTGATCAACGGGATTAAATTCCTTCCACACGCAATTTGTCAAGAAGTTCACTGATACTCCAGAGTGCAGAGAATGTAGACACCATGACGCTACTATGGCGCACCTGTTTTGGGAATGCCCTTTTTGGGCCGACCTGCGCAGTCAATGGGATGAAGGTTGGGAATCCTGGTCACGGTGGAGCCCCTGTTCTCAACACCTTCTTGTGTTCTGCAAAGACCTCCCCCCTAGGCTTCAGGCTAAATGGGGTACTATTCAACGACAAGCGGTTGACCTCCTTGGTAAGTGGGAAGCTCGTCACCGCGATCTCCGTGCAATTGATTACAATATTCAGCTTGATCATGCTCCAGTACAATCTGATCGTGCTGATCGACAGCACGCTCATTCGGAAGATATCTATTTGCTCAGCTCCCCCTTCCACAGCCACGTTGTGTTTAAGAGGGGACAATTCTTGACTATCGACCCTGACATGATGGCGGTCAAAGCCAACTTATGGTACTGGGGTGGTTGTATTGAAGATTTCCACCTTCTTCGTGGTATGCTTGACTGGTGCTTATTTGACAAAGGCAAAGCTGAAGCCCTCTCGAGGAGGCATACTTGGATTGAGGCCTTGCTGCTCTTCATCTTTATTGCAGGGGACAAAGCGCCCTTCCTGCGTAAGATCAAGACTGCTCGCGAGGCCCAGTGGAAGATCCGGATGTTATGTATGGGTATTCTCAAAATGCAAGGGATTCCAATTGATGCTGAAACCGAGCCGGACATGTTGGAGCTATGTCAATCTTGGCCTCCGCTGCCGACGATGCCCTTCGGGCTGCTCCTTCCACGGCACGACGGCATCAATATCGGACTGAAAGTTCTTGTCAACTTGAATGAGGAATACCTTATGCTGGGTAAACCGCTGCGCAAGCTGTACGTCACAATGGATCAGGTTGGGACGTCTATCACTTGTTGGAGGTATTCGCCGCTCTTTGCCTCCTTGGTGGTACGCACACGTATGAATGATAAGAAAGCGGGCCCTGTTCTTCCTGGTTTGAACCAGGTCCCTGATCGCCCTTGCGTCGACTTTGATGCCCTGACTTCGGTGCCGGAGCGTATTGATGCCTGCAAGGTTCTCTTGAAGGAATTTCTCCTTGAAAAGGTGCCTCTCGGCTTCTTGTCGGGTTTGGACGCCGAGCAACTGCGTGAAGCTCTCGGCAACTCCTCTGTGCGCAGACTTCGGTTTTGTTTAGGTCGAAGGAAACATCTTATGACGGGGTGGGCTAGTCGCCTGGCTGGAGCCCCCGGGCTTTCCCACTGTTATTGCGCCGACTGGGACCCTTCCGAGCCGCGATGCGTGCTCTGTGGATTCACGGTCCCCTGGACAAGGCTCGGCAGGCTTCGCCGAATGCCCCCATGCAAAGTGCAATATTCTGAGTTTATTATGCCTTCGGCCTGCGAGGCAAGGATCGCTGAACTTTCCTCGCAGGTCGGCGTCCTCGTGGCCCTTCTTTCGCTTTTAGGGTTCACTCCATGACCCCAGGCAATGCCCTGGAGGATAGACAGCGCTGCTACCGCCAGCCACAAGCAAAACCCGGGTAGATGAAGGTTAGTAAGGGGCAGTCCCCAGCCAGAAAATCAGTTGCAGACATCCGCCTTTCTAGTTCTTGAAGCATGGTTCTGGGTTCACCGTTTATTTTTGTACCGATCGGTTTTGAGCAAGTGACTCACATTGCTTTCGGGTCTTTCCAGGTATCCATGGAATGTTCAGGTATAGGAGGTATCGAGAGATGTTTTAACCGCTACTGGCAGAATGTGCGTCAAGGAGTTAGGGAACCTATGTCAAGAGACCCTGTTCCCGACTTGCAGACCCCGGATGCACACAACCTCCTACCAATTTCAGTAGCTGATGAGTTTATGAGGTTGTGCTTTCAGGGCCACCCAGAAAGAAACCCTGATGGCCCTGATGTGCGGCAACCCCAGGTCTGCTCAAATCATTGCGACCCAAATGCACCCCCTCCCCCTTTCGAGCCACACCCATTTCGATTCATTTGGTGCCACTAAGTGGGGGTTCCATTTTGAGGGGCACAGTCAGACATTGCTTGCTTCCCGTTCATCTACCTGAGGGGTGACTTTAAGAATAGTAAAATGCGCTCGGTTCACTTGAGAGACCTCTGGCGCTTAGCCAAATGGTTGTAGTTGTAATAGCTAGCTACGATGGTTTACAGGTAAATGTGCTCTGTTTATCGGAGAGTTCCTGGGCTTCAAACTTTTGGGCAAACCATTTTGGTGGTAAACATCAAGTACGGACAGTTTTTGGCCCATCCACTCAGGAAGTGAGGCTACAGATGTCCAAATCATCCGATTGGCTCGCTGGGCCTACTATGAGATGAATCTGCGAAAGCTAATTGACAACTCACTCACTCAGTTCTTGGATAGACGTTCTGGGAAGACCAATGGTAATTAAACTTTGGTGCATTTTGCTTGGATGTTGGGACTGTGACTTTTTGCCGGCTAGTTGGTTTTCCCCTCCAGCAGGGCCTCGCAGATTTCGCCGCCGAGCGCTTGCGAATCAACGAGCCAAGGAAAGTAAGGAAGCCCGTCGCCGCGCGGAGACCCTCAGCCCCGCGGCGAGCTTCCGGGACTGTGCGACGCTTTTGGGCCCAGCCATCGCCAATGTGTATGTCGTGCGTTTTCTGAGCGCCAACCCTTTTTTGGTTGGCTTAAAAGGGGTCTCGGACACCTTAAGCACACCTCTCATTTTGAGACCCAGAAACTCAGCGATCGCTAAGTAGAACTGTTCTTGTCCTTGGGTTCCTCTGGTTCTACTCTAGTCTCCCCAAACATCAAGATGTCCACATTGTGTAGGGCGAAGTCTGGCCAAAGGATGTCCCTTGGCATGGAACCAGAATCAATTCGCACGAGTCGGTGGTTCTTTTTAGCTTTCCGTGTCCTCAAAAGACGTGCCACATACACGTTTGTGAGTTTGGCGCTTCTTTTGCTGGAACCCTCCCAAAATGGTTAGGGAAACCATTCAGTTTCCCTTTGGAACCACCCAGCAGCGGGGATATACCCTAAAGAAGTCGATTTGGTTTCCCTTTAGAACCACCAAAAAAAAGTTGGTGACCAGAAATTCGTGCCGACAGCTGATGCCCTTTGACGGTTTCTTTTTTGTTCAGCTACCGGCCTTTTGGGAGAGCGGACGGGATAACCCAAGTGGCTAGGGCTTGACTGCACTCGCAAGAGCCTTTCGGGGAAAGTTCCCCTACTAAAATAGACGTCCTGAAAAAGGTGGTATCCTTATCCTAACCTCTCTACTGGAGGACCTGGACCCACCAGAGCCTTCAAATTAGCCAATCGAACTGTCCTTTTAGTCTCTTTTTGGTTGGGTCCTGCAGAGGCAACTGGCTGTATACGCAAACAGACAGCTCACTGGGTGTGCGATTTAGGCGCTCCACTGGTGGGCCTCCCTTTGCGGTGTGCATTTCAATCCCGGGATCAACGAATGGGCGGTTTTGTGCCACACACAACCTTCCATTAAACAGAGGGGTCAACAGCATTTGGTGGAGATCATGTCAATTTGGGGATGCATGTCCACCAACCACTGTTGAAGGCGGCTCGCTTCCTATTAACCTGCATAGCCATGTCTTGTCTAGTCCTGCCCGCACGGGGCGGACGATGGCACAAGCAAAAAAGTTCGGTCCTGGATATATAACATATATATATATATATATGTACTGTATATCCTTAAGTCATCAGGCTTCTTTGAACACATGAAATGAAGGGTGTATGCAAACCCTGGTGGTACCAAACAAGCTGGGCGGTAGATACCAAACAAGTGGCAACGCGTTACTGAAGAATTGATATGGCGCAACTTGTTAAGACCGCTGCTTTTTTTTTTTTTCGGATTCCCCTCCCCCCAAAATCTCTACTCGAATCTCGCCAAGTTTGTTTTCCCAATTGTTCGTTGCCTTTCGCTCCATGTCAGCCTAAAATAATAGTTTCCAGACAGGCTGTACAACCGCACTACCCTCTGTTCCCGCTGATGGGGGAAGCCAAAACCCTCCTGTCCATATCCCCACCCCCTTAAAAAGGGAATACGGGGAGAGGGTGACCCCTGGAATTCCATTTGTAGTTCCCTTTCCCATTTGTTTGGACGAAAGACTAGCATAGTGGAACTGGGGACCCCCCACTTCCTCCCCATGTAGGGGGATCTTTCCATGCGCAGGATGACCTACTAGAAAGACAACGAGCTCAAACTGCACCCTGAGGACCGCGGATGGATCTTCAAACGACACCAAATAGTTTCGGTTGAACAGCATCAATTCCATCCGGGACGGGGGGTGCTATTTGTTGTATGGGAGGCCATCAAGGATCTTGGTTCCCAGCCATCCCCTGTTGGCTTTCAGAATGATAGTTTCCACTTAAACCCACTAAAAGTTAGACTGCTAGGAGGCAATCAAAGGGGAACAGAACATCCCAGCAAGGATGACATCAAGGATGATAAGGGAATCCTGACCTACCATCAAGGATGACTTGGATCTAGCTGGATCCTTTACATTTGTCCAAAATCCGAAGGGGTGACGTCTCAAAAGACCTCGCCACGGAAATAGGTGTTTGCTCTTTTAGGGCCCCCCAAAATGGTGGTTTTCCCTTCGGTTTCCCTTGCCAACAAAAAGACGCACCCAAATGGCGCTCCAACAGAGGATCGATCAGGGTTTCATTTTAGTTGGGCTGGGCCCACAGATCTGAAGAGCCCTGTCATGGACTTTGGGGGTGTTTTGTTTCGTAATGGGAATTTCGATGAATAAACCCTGGTTGATGAATATGGGTTGGTGTCCTCTGGTTTAGTGGGGATTCAGACCACTTTTGGAAGGCCTTGTTAGGATGGGTGTGTTAATCTGGGGTCATCCTTGCCCTTGGGCTTGTTGTAAAGGGAGCCAACGGGAACTCACCGAAAATGTGAAAACGCCTCTGCAGATGAACACGGCACTCAAAGAACTGCCCCCCCCCCCCCGCCACAAAGAAAGAAGAGAACATCCATTGCCAAGGTTGGCTTACCTTCTGAGTTGTTTGCCGTTTCGGGTGGTCTTCATTTCTTTCAACCAGCAACTTTTGCAGGGGGTCTAAGTCTGGTAAAGCATCTAGTTTGGACCATGAGCAAAGTCAAGGACTTGCTCCTGCATGCACTTTATCACTTCCCCAAAGGAGGTCGACCTAAGTCTTGCCGCCTCATTGAAGTCGACCTGCCTTGCTCAGGGTTTATGTTGAACTGCGTGTCTGTTTCCATGGCAAATACCACCTTTTTTCAGTCAGAGGTTGACACAATAGCTTGAGACAAGTGGATATAGCCGGGCAACAGGCCCATAAAGGGTCTGGCCACATTGCAATTATGCAACCCTATCCTACATTACTTCCATGTGCTTAGGAATATGTGTTATTTCCCCCTGTTGCTTTTGAAGTGAATCTATCCCTCCTGGAAATATGTTTCATTGTTCCAGGGGACGCAACTACAAATGGAAAGATGGGTTTCGCAAACCTTGAAAAGGGTACCGGCCAGAAAGGACAGCCGGGGCCTCGTATCCAAGACTTGGAAAGTCTTAGAACGGTCAACTCACAAGGGCTTGAACAAGCGGACGATTTTGGAATAGCTGAAGCTAGATCTACTCATAAGAGAGTCACGTGAGGACTGTCTTTGCTTGTATCCAACTCGGGAAGTGAGTAACTCAGTCTTGGGCGATTGGCTCTTTGGCCAACTTTGGGCAATCTTCCAGGTCCGGCCTCTGCGGTGGACGCCCCTTCCGCCAGACAAATTGCACGTAGGGGAAGAAGGTAAACCTCGAATTTGCCGTAATTTTACCATTGGTGCATTTAGCTTGGATGTTAGGACTTTAACTTTTTGCCAACTAACGGGTTTTCCATGAAACTACTAAAAGTTAAACTTTTAGCAGGGGAGTAGAAAGTAACTGAGTTATCATAGTGTGCGGTTGAGTAAGGTCGGTGTACTGGCAATATTTACTAGGTCCCCCAGTAGTGCCCTTTTACCCCTTTTTTGGGGGAGGGCTCCCCTACCAAAATAGACTGCAGAAAGAAGGGTACCCTTATTCTAACCTCTCTACTGGAGGACCTAGTTTCGAGCATCCGCCGTATCCTCATTTTGCCTTCAGGATCGCGTCAAAAGACGCGACCTCTGCGAAGGACACAGGACAGCGTTCACGAGCGGCTCCGCGTATCCAGGGTAAAACGAACTCACCCAGGAACACAGACACCCAGGCTTTGAAGAATATATCTTTAAACAATGCTTTGAAGTCAACCCAACACGTGTTTGCCCGTCTTTTTTATGGCACTGGGGGTTTTGGTGGCGTTCACTGTGTGTTTGCCTAGTGAGCGAATGCAAACCCCGGATGAACAGACCCCTGTTTATGAATATGGCGGTGGGAGCCCTCCCAGTATGGTGATTCCCTCTTATTATAAGTATAGAGGCTTATTGTTGTGGGGTTATAGCAAAAGTGTAGATGCACTTGTTCACCATAGATCCTCAGGCACGAGTGGAACCAAGATAATGCGGCCCTCATGAGCATGCCTGAACAGTTTGGTGCCCTTGGTTGGGTTACATCCCCCAAGAAAGCTCGCCCTCGGGTAGGTTCCTTTTCCCCTTGTAGCCAAGACACCAATTGGTCTTGCCCACGGCAGCGATCCCATTCCATCCGACTTTGCGACCCTTGAGTTTCGCCCTTTGTTTGGTCCACGTTTTGTCGTGGCTCCAAGAGGTTCGTTTCTTCTGGCCCTGAACCAAATACCTTTTTTTTGTTTTCTCACTTGGTATATTTTGACAAAGTTGGTTTTCCACTGCACTGAGAATATCGCGCTTTTTAGTCCGGTCTTGACCTCATACCAAAAAATAAAAATAGTGGCTCCCCTGGGTATTGGGTGTAGGGGGAAGCTTGAAGAACCGTGGGGAAGAGGGGTTGGAGAGGCAGGCGCTTGAGATTTGTTCGAGGTAAACCCATCAGGCAGATCAACGCTTCAAAAGGCAATTTAATTGGTTTTAAGTTGAAAGCGAATCGACCTGATACCGTGGATGGACGAAATCCATTTTGCACGACTTTCAAACCATGCTTGAAACCACATTGTGGACCCCATTGTTGGTCTTACAGAGGAATCAAATCCATCCAGGGTTTCTTAGTTGGTGCGAGAAGCGGATTTTGCCACACGCAGAGACACCTGGCCGTGGGTCAACACCAAACCTATTTTAGTGGTTGGATTGAATCGCATGTTTATTGGGGGCTAACCGCGCACCTAAGCAACTGGAAGGATTCGATTGCCCTGTAAATTCCAGCAATGGTTTTGACCCATAGCCACCTTTGTCAAAACACCGTGGCCATTTCCGAGCCATTTCCGAGCTCCCACTCGGCGAACCGAGCTGGAAGTTTCGTCCATTACTTACCGACGGGAAATCGATGGCCTCGCGAGTCAAATTTTAGTGCGGAATAAAGACATGTGGAGTCATTTCTTCGGGGTGGGTATAAAGTTTGCTGCACAAACACCCGGGCACCAGCCCAGGACGTTGGAGGTCTTGCCCGTCTAAAGACAGGCCTCGCCCTCCTCAGACATGCGCTGAAGACATTTTCAACAAATGCACCCGGCATTGGCTCAGCACTGGGATCTCGAGATGTATTTCTCCCAGAGTTCTCGGACTTTAGTCGCCCTCTGGGAAGACAATTTTAGTGGTGAACAAAACCAGTGTCAACATGTTCTTGGGCAAAAGCCGAGATACGGGATGGCGGCCACTGTATGGAAGTATTGCGGATGGGCAAAGTCTTGCACCGCCTAAGAAACCTTGGAATGGTGAATCTCCTGTAAATACCAGCAACCAATGATTTCCCATGGTTTCAAAGTGGTGTGAGATGGATCTCGTCCACAGTGTTGTGAGTAACAATCGTTAGCACCTGGACCTGCTATCCATAGGTTCTGTCACAGGCAATGCGTTGCGGGTTTGTGTCAAATCATTTGATCCCCTGTCTGACCCCCAAGTAAAGAAACGGGGCGCATACCCATAGTACCCTCCAGACTAACATGGCAGCAGCCAGGGTCCCAGGACTCGGAAACGGAGGCGTTCCTGGGGGAACTTCCGGCAGTTAGCCTGAGGGAGTCTACATGCTCTCTTTGTAGGGTGTGTGTGTGTGTGTGTGCCAGCTTTCATAGTGGGCTCTGGGCAAAGATCAAAAGCATGAAGAGTCAACGGACCCCTCTGCCACAATGGCTTCTCGTGTGTGTGTGTGTGTCTTTGCCCAGTTTCAGGTGAGAATTATTTTTGGGATGGATGGGCAGCTTAAAGTCGACCGCCTCGTAGGGTCCCATGTCCATGTGACACTGTATGTGTTTGGGTTGGTGAGCAAAAACACCAAAACATCACCCAGATATTGTCCGAGCATAGATCAACCCAAGTGAGCATGCACGGGACATGATTTGCGTCCAAGTAGGGGAATCCTCAAGGTAAGCACAGCTTCCAATGGATCTTCCTTGGGACCAACCTTCAAAACAAGTACTCCGCACAAGACAGCCATTCAGGATTCTGCAGAAACTCATTGTTTCAACGCAGATTAAACGTGCTAAAGCAAGGGCTTTCATTTGCCAAAAGAAAAAAACAGCAAAAGGTTGAGGTTAAAACCCATTAAAGTGGTTAAAGGGCATCCTTACCCTGGGCTTAAGAAGATTCAGTATGCCTTTAGAGGGAATCTATATCACTTCGCGTTTTTTTCCTTGGTTCCCAGGGTGCGAAAACGCAAATGGAGGAGGGGAGCGGGGGAGTGGCCCACCAATGTTGAAAATGGTGTGTCCCCTCCAAAATGGGTGTTCTGAATCTCCAAAATCCCCCATGTTCTGAATCTCCACCAGAATCATAAAATCAATCAGGAATCAGGGCGAATCAGGGCTTCAGTTCGATCCGGGGTCAATTTTGACGGGTTTCACCACTCCGGGGTCAACTTCCTCAGCCATCCGGTCCCTCAGTCTTTGGTGGTCTTCAGTTTTTAAGTTCCATGACAGTGTTTTCGACGTTTCGCGCGGGATCCTTAAGAGGAGAAGCCCAAATGTGTCTTCCTCAGTTCTTCAGGGGCACCAATTCTTTTTCCCCTCTTTTTTTGGTGCCAGCCCCCACTAAAAATGGTCCAAGCCCCTAAAAGAATTGGTTCCCTTTTCTCTCGGGTCGCGGAACCGAGCTTCACGCACGGCTTCCAATTCGCGGAACTCGCCAATGCCGGAGCAACTGGGCAGTTGTGCATTGCCCTTGCCCAGAGGCTCCAATTCGATTTTAGGGGCTTCAAACCACCTGGTTTTGCCCCCCACCACCGAAACGGGGTGTCTAATGGAGGGGTCGGGTCTTCCATTAAAAGCCGAAGCCGATCGGAGCCTCTGAGCAGTTTTCACGGGTCCGAAACGGGACCTGCGAAAAGGCCTCCGCATCAGAGCGGAAGGTGTACTTGGCTAGGCGGTTTGCTAGGTCCCCCAGCTAGCTGCCCTTTGTCACCCCTTTTTTGGTTGGGAGATTCGCTTCCCCTACTAAAATAGACTACAGAAAAAACATCGGGTACCCTTATTCTAACCTCTCTACTGGAGGACCTCGTAGCCAGCTTGGGTGTTTCACCACCCACTTAAACCATGCCTTTTGAAGGTTTGGGTTTTGTTCTACCGGAATGGTGACAATCGACCACTTGGATGCTCGATTCGCCAAACAAGTAGGTTAGCCACTTGGAGTATAACCCGCTAGGAACAAGTTGTTAACACCACATTCATGGGAGACTCATTTCAGTGGGTTATAACAGGTCACCAACAACTTGCAAACTTGGCCGAACAAAAAACTTCAATATGTGCTGGACGAAGCAATCCTCAAGGAAACGAGTAGAAAGGGGTCGGTGCTGTGAAACCGGGTTGCCTCATGGGATAACACTAAGTCTACAGTGATGAGGACTATAGATGGGTGTATCTCAAAATGGGGCACCCACCCCCAAAAGTATGTGGAGGTTTCCTTTGGATTCCCTTTGAATCCATGCCTCAAAGGGGCACCTTCCAAAAATATCCACTAACGACATGTGGCTCAAGGGGGCTTGGGGCAACCCAGTTTCAGCGTATGTCTAAAATTTATAGTTGTCCATGCGAAATACCTCTTTTTCTGGTCAAAGGTTGACATAATGCCTCTTGTTTCAGGCGCGGGCGCGTTCAACAGCCATGAAAAATCCTTGGCGGGAAACCATGGTTTTTGATGGTCGTCCATAGGGTCCTAGAGTGGATTTTCGGAGAAACGAACGGAAGCCAGTCAGAAATGAACCTCGGGTTTACCACCTGCCTCTGCTGAAATGGATGCGGAGACCGGACAGTCAGGCTTGTACAATACCGAGGAGAGAAAGCTGCGTCCATTTGAGCAGCGCCCAAGCACCCCTATTGACCATGTCGGTGTTCGATTCGGCCAAGTTAGTAAGTGCATTCGCCACTTGGGTTCTAGCCCACCAAGGACAGGGTCAACCCCACTTAGAGGGACTTATAAGACAGTCTGTACCAACAAGTTACAAACTTGGCCGACCACCAAGTAAGGTGTTGGGACCTCGTTCGGTTTTCACCCACTTCTCAGTGCCCGTATTCAAGCCCACTGAAATTTAAGTCTCCCCATGAATCCGGGGTTAACTCACCTCGTTGTGAGGGGTGAAAAATCGATCATCCAAGCGGTGCCGCCTGGCTTCCCGGGGGTCGAGTGGTGTAAAGGCCCCAGATCTTTTTGGGAGCGCTTTGCCTGAGCTTGCGGGTTTTTTTAGTTGATTTGGTGGTGGGGTTTTCATTTAGCGACACAAAGTTTGACTTCTAGCAGGGGATCTGAGGACAGCCCAGTGTTTTGACCACTCTGGTAGAACCAAGCCCAAACCTTCCAAAGACTCGGAACTGGGTTGTTAGTGGAAACAATCGGCCTGAAGGGTGTCCATTTTGTCGGTGAGTGAAATACGGCCAAGTGGACTTCCTGGGTAATATAGCCTCTAACTGTGAAACATACTCTGAATATGTTTTTGTTTGTGTACCGCAGATGTGCGCCACGTCCATGTTCATGAACCCTTGGAATTCGAGAGATCGTGATGGTTGGATGCTCGTTTTTTCGTAAGGCTGTGTTCATCCAATGGACCGGGGTTCTGGGAAAGACAGGTTGGGTCCTGAGTAAGCCCACCCTTTGGGAAGCAAAGGCAACAACGCGTTTACTTTCTTGCTTCCTGTGTGGGACTGTGCAAACAACCGGTCTAACTGTTATTGGCTACTAAAATTGTCCAGTCCCAAAAGTGACCTTTAGTCCGAGTCCCGGAACTCAGGGAATGAGGTTTTCGACCGGGTGTTGTTGTCTTTTTTATCGGAAAACGAGCGATTCCACCAATTCTGCTGGGCCTATACTGGGTAATTCTCTATTTTAGGTCTGTGAATTTGGTTGCAGAACTTGGATGTTCGTCCAATTTAGTAGGTAGACAATGACCCATGGCTGTACCCCGCGCAATTGATTGGGATTGGTGCTCTTGATTCAAGCCATTTGCATCCAGATTCAGCAGGTACTTTTGAAGATGCCGCTTGCATTGACCCAGCGAAACCCATGCCCCAGCTGGGACACGTCAAATCCGCTTCATTCATCGTGGGTTATGAAGCGTCCATTTGCCAAGAGACTGGGGTTCTCACAAGCTCCAGGTTGCTGCAGTTGTTGATGTGCTTTGCCTACAGATGTCCCCTGACTGAAACTGATTATGGTTGTAGTTACCATTCAAAATAGGAACATTGCAGTGCATCGGGTCTGCTTGCGGGCGGCCTGCAAGCCATCCCCTGTGTTTGGTGGATCTCTTCCATGGTGTGATTACAGATGACTACAGGGGGAGCCGTTCAAGGTTTGAGCGAGGACAATCCACGCATGCCTGGGTGCGGCTGCCCCTTCGATTCAACTGGTTTGGGTAGACCGCTTTCATACCGGGCGTTGTTTAGGACTCTATTGGGCTTGTGTATTGTTAAGGGTACCCTTTGTGGGGTTGCACAAAGGGAAGTCAGAGTTCAGAGGCAAAGCATATGGCTTGGAATTGTGTTAGGGAACCACCTTAGAAGTGGTTGGTGGACAAGAATCCCAACGTCCACAAGAAGGTCCGGGATCCTCAAAATTCACACCCGTATATTTGTCAAGTTGGATACCCAGATTGACCAATTCGCAAGGCAGTGGTTTCTTGTGAACAACTAGCTACCGCCGAGCAATACATTTGTTTGAGGGTATTTGCGTAAAACTGCGAAACCGTCGGCTCGGAAGGTAAATGCCAAACAAGTTTTGTTCAGTTTGACACACCGCCAACAGTATCGGTTTGTGTTCATTTACTCAGTTGCCCAAAGCCGACCTTTTAACTTTTTGGTTTTCCAATTTTGGTCTATCTTTAGCAAAGGCTTCAAAAGGTTAACCTTTTATTTCTGGGTCCTTTGGGCGACTGAGTTTAAGTTGTAGGTGAACCAAACCCGAGTCGAAAAAACAAGCTCGTCTCGCGCCCCGAGGTTCAACAGGAAGGCCTTTGCATGGGGCAATCCAGATGGACAAAGGCGGGGCTCTTGGGCACTTGTCAGCGGCTTCTTGCTGTTTTGCTTCCCTTGTTGACTATAAAGGGAATTTATCACTACCGGAAACAGCGACTTCCACTTGCTGTTTT